TTTAAAAGATTTGATAAGGTATCAGTAATCCTTTATTAAAAATATGAAAAGTAATATTTTTTTAATTCTAAAGTCGTTGCGGAACGTTACTGTATTATTTACTTTTATAGTAGTTTGCATTTTGTTTTAACTTTGAGTAAACTTAAACTGCAATGTATAACAAAAAATTTATTAACTATGAAATCGTCAATTTTAAACATAGCATCATTTTTCAATTTTAACAAATATTTCTAAACTATAATATTACATAGTTTTAAGAGTACATCTGTTTTAAAAAAAAGAAGTAAATTAGAAATAGAGTTACATAATACCTTTTGAAAATTTATAAAAATTACATACAATAAACAATTCATACCTCAAACCCAAATATATCGAGAATCGCTATAGAGGTCTTCCTAGGTCCTTTGAACACAATATTGTTGACTCTTTGTACTAGCCAAGAGAACAAACTGGAGTATAGAGCTTTAGCAATAGCATCTCTATAATTAAAAAAGAGAAAATGTAATTAGCATGCTCTATTTTTGAATATAGTTTGACCATACACAACTTGTTATGTACATATTTAAAGGAAACAGTCAAATTTTCGATAAAATTTATAATTGTAAAGCACAAACTGACTTACATATCAAAATATATTGATTTTAAATCCAATTCAGGACGATACTCCCTTTTTAAATGATTTGGGATTACATATTCTTTTTTTAATCCTTCAAAATAAAACGTGAATTGCAAGGTTTTTTTTTCCAGCTTAAATATTAAAAATCAATAACAATTGCTGCTTATTCGGATTTTTCTAATGAATATTCATTTGTGTTTTGACTTCAACTAATCAGGTGATGAGTTCCTTTTCAACAAATATTGAAAAATTACTTGGCAAGTTATTCTGAGAATACTTTGTGTGTTTCATTCTATGTTATTAATTAGTTTATAGAAATTAGATTTTTATTAATATTTCAGAGTAATTTTCATACAAAATATTTCATTATATAAAATTTTGCAAAAATTGCATTTTTCAGAAGCTACAAGTGATATTAATTTGATCATTTCTTACTTTCAACTTTAATATCTATTTATTTATTCATTTATTATTTTTCGCCGTTAGCAAGACTACAAAGTCGTTTCCAGTTGGTAGGATCAGACGCTAGTTTTCTTCCATTATGTAATGACCATAATTTTAAGATCTTTTTCCTTCATGGAGTTAATCCATCTCTTATTAGGTTTACCCTTTTTCATACCAGTAAATTTACCGACGGCCAGTTTTTTTTTTTTTTTTTTTTTTTTTTTTNTTTTTTTTTTTTTTTTTTTTTTTTTTTTTTTTTTTTTTTTGCTTTCTAATTTTTTAGATAAAATTTTCATTAGTTTTCTCAACATTATCAAAATACAAAGATGGCAACTTTCTAAACTAGTTATCCGTAATCAGAAGTAGAATAATACACTTAACGTAAACAAAATTCTAATTAGCGCACTTTCAATGTGTTTTTACTACTTAATTATATATGGATACTTATATGTTTAATATCAATAACACTATGCATGAATTTTCTATTAGATAAAATAAAAAAAATTCGAATATTCACTGTAAACAAAATTTCATGACTCTTATGTAGTTAATGAAATAAAACTTATTTTTAACAAATTAAGGAAATTCTCAAAAACCGTAATATTTCTTATTCAATTATAAGACCGTAATCTTGACTACAAAATCGATGAATCGTAATAGTTGGCACCTCTGAAAATACAATTACACATATTTTTAATGCCTTTAATTAAATCTCTTCTAAAACTTTAAGCAAGTATTTAAAAGATTTTCACGCTTTGTTTTAACTCCATAAAATTGTTTTAGAGAATCGAATTTATACAATAATCTTAGTAACAGGAAGTTTTTCTTGCAATTTTTAATAAAATATCTTACCTAGCATCTAATGCTTGATCAATATTCAAAGGAGTGACGACTCGTTCATTTCTGGCTTCCTGAAAGAATAATAAATTCAAATTAGATTAATGAAATTAACTAAAATTCTACGAATAATTCCTAAAAATGATCAAAGCAATATTTTTATTAAAGTTCAAGAAATAATGTTACGTCTGATGTACATAGTGGGCAAAATTATTTTCTGATAATGTGCAACTATTGCATTTGATTGAAAGAAGCATAGTTAATTGCTCTTACACGACCCAGGTTATCAAGTTTTAAGGCAGTTTGAGAAACTACACATGATGAAACAATTCTAGTAAAATTAGCGAACTGTGTGGTAATGACATTTCTGTTTTAAAAAAACATAATTCTGGTTAATAAAACCAAAATATACGTTACTTGAACCATTTATTCAGTTATTTTCCGTTCATATGATAACGGTTTACCGGAAATTCTGGTTTTAAGAATTATAGTTAGCAGTACCACACATTTATTTTTTATTTTATAACCGTCGATGAACAGCCTACTAAATTTCATGGGTTTATGACTATTAATGTTCAACTTCATAGCCTTGTAATTTTGAACCCAATCCAGAAGACAAGGGATCGCCTGGATCGAGTATTGGGAGAAATTTGCCTTCGTGTAGGACTTTTTGATGGAGCTAACCCGCATTTGCGTTACTAGGAGAGGAAGACCACGAGAACCACCTACGGTTAGCCAGACGGCAAGGGGACTCTAACCCCATATCCGTCTACCACTGAGGATATTTCACGTCAGCACTGTGGTCGGTGCAAGGTGGATGCGGAATTCGTATCGACCTGCTATTGCCGGGATCGAACCCCGGTTCACCCAAGGCGAACGCTCTATCCCCTGAGCCATCGCGGCTCCAAGACATTTTTAACACATTTAGTAAAAAAGTACAAAACCGAAAAGTAAATATAACCGAATAAATGAGTGTTCTAAGATATCTTGATAAAATTAGCATATTTTGCCGCACCATATTTTACCGCATATTATAAAAGCCTATTTTATTGCCAATTTTACGAAAGTCATTACCAAAGCGCTTTGGTAAAAACTACTGAGCTTTTTGGTGTTCCCATAGAGCCAAAAACACGCTAAATCTTACCGTATTAAGATATTTTGACCACACTTATTTTATCAATGCAGAAACGATTATCAAAACCTTTTGATACTCTACTTCTGTTTCAATATGATCTTTAAGTCAGAAATTTAACATTTTAAATGTAAGCGTCACAAAACTGACTTTGAACGTGAATAATAATAATAAAATTTATCAAAACTTTTTGATACTCTACTTCTGTTTTAATATGATTTTTAACTCAGAAATTTAACATTTTAAATGTAAGAGTCACAAAACTGACTTTGAACGTGAATAATAAAAAACAAAAAAACATGTTGAAGTATTTACATTCCCGAAAAATTAACGTTGAACCATAAAATCACTACCTTTAACCATAAAGCGGAGTAAATATTCTGCAACCTTAATAAAATATTTGTTTAACCACGCTTCGAATAAAGTTGAAACATTATAAAATGTATTACAGTTCAGAAGTACAATAACATGGTTGGTACATTGTAACGATTTCTAACGGTATTATGGTTTAACACGATCCAGAATTCGGCAATTGTGGATTGTGCCTGATCTACTAATTCAGTATTCTTATTATTATTATTATTCAAAAGGGAAAGAAGCAATCAGACAGGTAATATTTCATGTCTGATTGTTTCTTTACACGGGATCACATAGCTCGTAATGGTAACCATAAAAACTATTAATAATAAATCCACGCAAGAAAAATAAAATAAAAAAACACACAGAAAACTGTATATACAAAAGTAAAATGCACATAAACAAGATGTCGTTTAATAAGTAAAAATTTACTGTCTCTATATATTTTGTAAAACATACAAGGTGAAAAAATAAAGTAAAAAGTTCTCAATTTCATTAATAGTAATTAAAAATTCCTTTAATTTCTGTTTAAATAAGTCTTTGTTTGGAGCGTTTTGAAAATTTGTGAGAACACTGCTGAAGAATTTAGGAGCTAAATATGTGAAGATCTTGCATAATATATTTTTTGTTAGGCATTGTTAATTGTTATATTTTATCAGGTCGACTATTTAATATTTTCGCGTTTTCTACTCTAGTTCCGAGTTCATATATAAATATCGACAAGCTTTATAGAAGAAAAAAAGACGACTACTCGAAAGGATGTTTAAGCTTTAAAATGACTAATATATATTGTACTGTAGATAAAGCATTTGAAATTTTGGAAAGCTGTGCAATGATTGATGAACGAAAATTACTCGAGCTTCCGAATGAATCATCAATAAATCTGGCTTTAAATTGACCCGAAAAAAATGCCGACTATAAATAAGAAAGTAGGAAAAAAAACGGACAACATTGGCATTTTTTTTTTTTTCAAGTCTGGGTACATTTTACAGCAGACTGTTTTTCATGGTCTTATAGTCAAGCTTAACTTATTTGCCTTATATCAACATTCTGCATTTTCAAATTGCAAAATCAGTAGTTATGATAGCATTTTTAATTTATGCGTAATTTATTCCGATAAATATTTTAAATTGATAGATACAATATTCTTCTTACATACTGTACATCCATTTAAAGTAAATTTATTTGTATGATAGAAAAATAGAGTGTACCGTTGTTTTTGTTGTCATCGCTCGCAAAATTCCATCTAAAGATAGCTGAAGTAAGTGGGATGCCCATCTAATTTCTGCATCACTGCCTATCTCAACTCCTTCTTGACCATGTTTCAACTAAAAAACAACACAATACACTAACTTAAAACATATATATAACCCAATATAAATACTTTTATGCATTGTAAAAATTGTGGTGCAATATCTCTCCGAATATGATATTAAACAAACTAAAAAAATATGTGATAGAATAATACTTTGCTAACACCAAATCGAGCATTCAGATTCTACTTAAAGGGTGCAATTTAAGTTTAGACATTTAAATTAAATAATCTAACACTAAACGTTCACGCTTTGCTTTCCGAAAGAAAAATCATTGTTGGTGCCGTTTGAATATCAAGAAACACTAAGTATAGTTTGTCTGAAATAAGAGCACCTCCAGATATCCGTCTTGACCCGTGGCGGTGACTATAGTAACGAGGTATGACTTATTTCAAGTAGGGGTGCGGGGTTACTGTTTTGGATTGGTTTCGGCTCGGGTCGACAAGAGATAGGGAATCTCTTTCCTCGGTCTATTGTGTTAGTCCTAGAGTAAAGCCACCCTCCCTAAAATGCGCCATTCTTGTTTCCATAGCACCAGGCAGCCTCCGACTTTGTGACGGGAGGAGTTCTTACCTTAGACAAACTATAGAATATCGCTAGTAGTTTGTTTACAATCTGCAATGAGCCAGAGAAAGTTAGTCATTTCCATCGCTGATATTCATCAACAAAAATTCACCGTTAAATGTGTAGGTATATTTTTAGTTGCGTAGTAAAGATGATTATATTTTAATTTTTAAATCACTGAGAATTGCATTAACTGGTTTTATAATGCCTAATTTCTTTTTTTTTTCTTCCAATGCCCACCCGATTGACATTCGTCTTTCAGGTATAAGTAAGGCAGATTTGTTGGTCACTCTTTCAGAGGCACCATACTAGGTGGACTAACGTTGCTTCCATACGTTACGCTCCCATTCTCTTTACTGGTAAGGACAGATAGTAAAGAGAATGAAAAAACATCCATACCCTGTCCGGGATTCGAACCCAGGACCTTCCTGGTGGGAAGTCAGCCACTGCACAGTCTGGTCGGCAATGTGTAATTTCAATCCGCTTACGTTTTGCTTTGTTTAGTTTAGTTGAAATTAGTCTTTTGCATTCTATTAATTTTGTGCTGCGTGGATATTTAAATTACCAGCTATTTTTATTTTAAGTATAATGATCTGTGCATTCCAAATTAATGATTTTTACTTGAAATTGTATAATAAAAATAATTTTATCGACTCTTACGTGTATCTTATCTTACTGTAGTTACAAATTTTGTTGTTATTAAATAACAAAAATGGTGGCGCCTATTTTACACCAAGTAGAGTCAAAGAACATTTATGCAGTGGAACACTAGATCAAACAGTTAAACATGGTGTTTCACAACACTACTTTGATGTAAAGTAGTTGCCACCATGGAAGACAGAAATCCCTAGATTTCTGTCTTCGCTGTCGCTACTTGCTTTTTACAAAACTTCTAAATCTAAATCGGATTTACGCATAAAGTAAAACCCTTGGTAACATACCAGTGATTGTTTTTATATCTGTTAGTTAATATTAAAATTTTAAGTATTAATACGTTACATAAAAATATCGAAAATTAGTCATACTTGTTTTCTGTGGAAATAAATGTTTCCTAAATGAAGTACAGATGCAAGAATGCGGAATATGGTATCTTGTTCTTCGGATGTGAAGCTTAAGACCTGCATAGCTGCTAATAGAGCGCGGAAGTCTTCGGCATCATCTTTTGGCTTGATCTTAAAACATCCACCCTATAAACAAAAGAAAAACATTTTAAAATAGCATTTTTCTAAACAATAATTATATATCATATAAGTCTCTTTGATACGAAGCTTACAACTTGTAAAAAAGTTTCATACACAAAATTTTTAATTTAAAATAAATCACTTTCATATGAGCAATTTACTAATGATACCACAATTATGAAAGTATAAAGTGGAGTTAGAATAATTAGAATCTTATGAACTAACTGGCATTATGCCAACGAATGTAGATATTTTTTTTGAAAAAATTTACCTGATTGAGATAGAAGTAGTTATCGGCACTTTGCAAACCATATTTTTCTTTCTCTGAATCCGATAACCCACTAAGCATTTCGTAAAAAACGTGATAATTTCTTTCATCAGAAGCCTAAAATAACAAGAAATAAAAGCAATCAGAAAAAAATATAAGTAAATATTTTGAGTAGTATATATAAAATAACTATACATTTATTTAAGACATTTGGTAAGCCTTAAGACTTTTTCGAAGATTTGACTATATCATATCAAATACTAAAATTTTAATAAATAAATTAATGTGATAATTCAGTATATTATGCTTATTGCTGAATCTGGTGGGGAAAAGATTACGAATTTTCAGCACAAATGTCAGCAAAAATTAAAAAATCAACTTTTTTATATTTTTTATTTAATATATCTGAAAGAAAGCATGCATTGGCGGTCTAAATTTAAGTAGGACAATTTAAATAATTTTGTTAAACCTTCAGTTTTAGTTTTTTGATTATATAAAAATTTCATTAAAGTTATACAAAACAAGACACAAAAATAATTTATCATATTAAATAATTGTACATAACAAGATACTAAAGTATGGCTACTTAAATAATTAATCATATTAAAAAAACTGCATAATGTTCGATTTGAAACTTTGAGATACTTGATCAAGAAATTCTTCTCTTCCTCCAAAAAGTGAGCAAAAAAAAAAAAANAAAAAAAAAGAAAAAAAAAAAAAAAAAAAAAAAACATTGAACTAATTTAAGCAACTGCAAATTTTAAAAGAACGAAATGAGAAAAGTTACGTTTGAAAATCGAAAAAGTAAAAACCAATTTTAAAATGCTATCAAAAAATATCATTAACCTAAATACAGTCAATCTAGATAAAGAAAATATGTCAAATATTTGGTAAAAACTACATCAATCAGATGCAAAATTTCAAACTAGTAAAATTATCCTGAAAAATCTAAAGATATAAAAAAGAAATGAATTTCAATTAATTGTAGTCTAGCTTTATCGTTCAGAAAACTAGTTTTTGTCATTTTTCGGCATTCCTGTGATATTAAAACTCATTTTAACAGTAAAATAAAACTAAAATATCATAAAATGTTACCTGAGTAACTATTCGAGACTTTTCTAGTAGGTACTCTGTACTCCTTGCTCCCGTTATTACACCACTGAAATTAAGATCATAAAATTTTAAAATATGCTTTTATTCTTAATCTAAAAATTTCTCAAAAATTAAAAAATATATAGTTTAACACAAAGTTAATTAAAATGAAGATACAGGAAAATAAGTTTTTATTTGGACTATTTATGTTTGCCTAACGGTTATGTATAACGTTATCGAATAACACAAGAAATAAAATGAATCAAAATGAAAAAAGATTTGGTAATTGATTGGAAATAATATAAACACTTGAAAATATATAGTAATAAGCCGTACTTTTTCGAAAAGTAACAGGTTTACATCAAACTGTTCCTTAGCATTGTTTCAAGGTAGGTAATTAGAAATATCCGTAATTTCCTCTAGATACAACACTGTTCGCAGATGTATCTTGCAACCTACATGAAAGTTCAGGATAACGTACTTTTTACCATATGCTTATTCGTTTTTCGTCATATTGCTCTACTGAACAATTTGAAAAATGTGGCTTTCGAATTGCTTTCGCGATTACGTGTGGGCAACATATTGATTCCTGTAATACGGAAACACTAGTACTAAACGATAAAGTTATGGACACAATTAGTTTGCATTGAAATGATTTTGCAATCAAGTGTGATGAGAATTGGTCGGTACAATGTCAACAATAATTGAAGTTATAATATTTATTTATAATATTTATTTATAATATTTATTTATAATATTTATTTATAATAATATCTTCAGCAAGATTTCGAAACTTCAAAAGTTTGAGGAAAGTTTAAAACGTTATTAATAATTTTAGCCTTGAAGGAAACTAACAGATATTAAACTAACAAATGATAATCTTAAAACACTGCATCAAGAACTAATGTATACGTCATTAAGGGTCATAGAAAAGTCTTTAAATACTTATCCTTTTGAGAACGTTTAATTGGAACGCTTTAAAAATACAAGACTCTCAAAATGATGGGATTTAAATTTTTGGAGGTGTTCTCCAATAAATTAAGTTAACAAAAACTTCCTATAAGCTTATTAAAGTTTTAAATCAAAAAATAATGAAAAAATTGATGAAAAAAAAGAAGTTATGGTTCATATGCCAAAAGACTAATAATATTCAGATAAGATAAAAAAAAAATATTTAAAAACAAATAATTAACTTAGTGAGCAATTTTCAATTATCTCCGAAGCCATCCATATATCCTAAGCAGTAAAAATATGAAAAATAGTATTTGGTTTAAACATTAGTTAATATAGTTCAAAATTTTACACATATCTAAAAAAGTAAAGCATTTACGGCCATGGGGGTCAGAGGTTAAGGCTCCAAAAATCCGTGATCAACGGCGTGATTGTAACATGATCAGAAGTGAGCAAAAACAGTTTTTACTTTCCGAAGAAACTGATACCGATCTATCTGAAGATGGGAGAACTTCAAGCCACCGTTGAGGATCGAACCCCAGTTCCTTATAGTGACAGCTCATTGCTTTTAACCACGTAACCATCGTGGTGCATTACTCATACACATAACTACATTTGTCAAAAGAAAGTATCTCTCAAAAATATTTTAAATTTTAAAAACATTCCGAAAGTTTGAAAAAATTATGCAAATAGATGCCTTTATTATTAATCTTTTTACCTTTATT